AGAGCCACAGCACAGTGCGTCTTTGGCTTTGTAAGTATATGCATATATTTGTCAGTCACATTCTCAATATTTGTGTTTAGGTTCAGTAAAGCTGTAGATCATGCAGTTAGTCATTAATCTTGGCTTAATAAAGACTAATAATTGTTAAAGTATAGGATCATCTCATCTGATTATTGGATTTAAACATTTATTTTGTGGTGAATTAACCTTTATTATGTAATTAAACAGTATATTAGTCTGTGTGCCTAGTGTAATGTGCCCCTTTTTTTGTTGTTTTTTTTGTATTTTTTGTCATCTGGATTTGTAGATTTGACATCTAGACGTAAATATACATTTTCTTTTAGGAGACTGAAATCAGACATATTTTCTTTAGATTTATTTTGTTGCACTGTTTGACTGGTCAAGTACGTAGGACCAGTGGTACTATAAGAATTAATAAATCATTGAAAACCGATGTAGCAGCCCTGCCTGTTTTAGGGGTACAAATAACAATTATTCATTATTTATTTAATTTATTTCAGGATCTGAATTTCGGTGTGGACATTCAGTCACAGTGTGCATAATTTGACCAATTACTGCAAGTTCCAAGCTTATGAAAAAAAATACTTTATTGTATTTGAAATAGATTCCTTTTCAATAGTACATTCCCATGGTCTTTTTCTTTTTAAAGAATCTATCCGACAGAATCGGAATACTGAATACTCTGGATGGAGAAACTGAGAAATATATAAAAAGATGGCTGCAGCTGGCATCTGATACGGATGGGGGAAGAAGAGAGCGGGCCCTAAAACAAAAAAAATCTTCTTAAGGTATGTTTCAAAGGTTGTTTTCCATTTACTATTGAGATCTATCTCTAACCATGTGTCATTCAGTGTCCCCTATTAATTGCATTATTTCTGTCATTCTGTACCTCTTTTAGGATATCCTTGAGGTGAGCCTGAGAGTTCATACAATTTCTCAGTTTTTATGCATTTGTTGTCAATTTTATTTTATGTTTATCTTGTCAAAATGTTTAAATAAAAATAAAAAATTCTGAAATTTACATGGTGTCATTTTCATTTGGGGCGTGACCTCTTGGCAGGATTAAAACAATGATATTTTTTTGCAGTACAGTCAAGTAGATTGTTTATTTTATTAATATTTTGTGTTAATATTTGTTAAATGTTCATGTCATATGTCATATCACGACCATGCTGTCATGTGTTCAGTGTTACTAGAAGAATCATTCTCAGTTCATGAAAACTGAAGGTTTGTTTGAGCTCATCTAAAATATAGTACCAGCAAAAGAGATTTTGCGACTGACAAATAGTTTAGAGCAGTAGCACAACGCCTACAGTACAAAAGTGTAACACTTAAAGCCTCTGAATATTTGCATAGCCTACTTAGTAATGTTATAATATATTTCTTTAAGTCTTTAATAATACATTTTAGTTTTTGTTTTGTTTTTGGTAACCAATAACTTTTCAAACATAATACATGAATATACTTATTTTAGCAAGCTAATATTGCTTTTGGCAAAATGTATTGTATTTCTTATTAATTAAATGTAGTTCTGCATTTCATATATTTGACTTCGGAAAACCAGACTCGGGCCAGTACCGGTTAATTATACAATTTATGCTGGCGTGATTATGGCCCGACTCCGGCAGCGTCGGCTCAGTTTCGGCACCCGGACTCGGGCCAGTCATAGACAGTAAAAGAAATGGACAGAGCCATCTCATTGGAACTCAGTTGAGACAGTTGAAGCCCATTTTTAGCGATTTTTGAGCACTTCCGTCCCTGACGCGCAGACTCAAACCGACTCAAACTAAGCTTGATGACGTGAGCAACCTGTCTGACAGACGTTAATCTTCTAGTAGCTGTGCCAAGAGGAATCTGAATCATTCCCTTCCGAAACTTGCAGAGCCGGAGATCGTGAGTATTAGCTGTCCATGAGCTCGCAGCAGGAGCAGCTTTACAACTCTCTATGGGCTTCTCCCTTGACTTTATGCCTCGACGTCCCCCCGATTGCGCGCGAGTTTCTACTTCTGTCTATACGGTAATTTCTGTACAGCGCGACAGAGAGTCGAGTGGTTATGACGCAATCGTTAGCCTATTTTTACTAAATCTGTTTCTACGGGGCCATAACGTAACATAGAAGGTAATGGAGCCTTTTATACATTGTCGTGTTTCTTTAGAAATAAATAATGGACAAATAGAGTTTTTAAACGCCTCAGATGTAAAGTTATTCGCTGTTAAAGTGACGCCAAAATGAATGGGAGTCAATGGAAATGCTAACGCAAGTGAAGTTCTGCTACAAGATGGCGGCACCCGGCCGACTTCAACTTCCTGTCGATGGATTACCCCCTTGGGGCCAGTGTACTCGGGCCGATTCTGGCGAGTCATTCATTGCCGCGTTTCACAAGAGTCCGGCGACCGGAACTGGGCCGAGTTATTTCTTCCGGCTTGCCGGATCTGGGCCTTTATTGGCCCACATCTGTTTGGCTACCTGGGGAAGTTTGAATTTACTTAAGATGAAAATGATATTACAAAATGGAATAACTTTTAATCAAATTAATTAATAAAACCGAGTTATCATAACATCACCACCACAATGAGAAGTCGCATGACATTCAAACAGCAGTCGACTGAGGAAAGAGGTTCATCACTGTCTGCATATGACTGCAGGAAAACGCTGCTGGTCTGCAGAAATGAGACCTTATCAGATAGCAAACTGATTTTGATACATAGGCCTACTCTTCCTTTAAGTCCCGTCGAGTGAGACAGGATTAAGATCAGAAAACTCAAAGTGCTGAACATTAAACTGCACCATCAGAAAACAACCATGCGCCAAAAATACAGCAAATGTGTTGAATTCACAGTAATGTACATAAGTTGACATCAGAGTTAGTTTAAAATATATTTTTTTACTTACCTAACAGAAAAGGGTTTGGAGCGTTCAATTGTCTGTCTGTACAGTTAGCTGTACGAACTGACCTGCATTTCGATTTAAAGAAGACAAAAATCATGGACAGTAAAAGAAACAAAAATGCGAAACGAAGCAAGTTCTTCTTCTCCTTTAAATGTATCGGCGGTTGGTGCATTACCGCCATCAGTTTGCGTGATTTTTTCCCCCAAACCTCTTATAATAAACGTAGCAAGTTCTTCTTCTCTGTGATTTAACGGCAGCAAAGACGTTGCAAGTGCTGCCATCTGTCGGATTACTTTCAGTCGTGTGACTCGTGTCCTTGTAAAAAAAAAAAACACACATTTAATCCTCCTCTGCTGAGATCTTCACAGATTTAATGTCTTCTTTTATCTTCAGGTGATTTCATCTAAGGCTGTGTCTGAAGTCAATTGTAGTTCTTGTGTTTCTGCTCGTTTCTTTTTCTATTCTCTTCTTTCCTTCAGTGATTCTGCTTGTTAACAGGCTTATTAAGGTTGAAATGACTTCATATTTAATATACACAGATTTTGTGACTCAGATAAGGTCCAGTTCTGGTTTATTTCTTTGCCCTTGGCTGACATGTGGCATTGCTATGGCCTGCTTGTGGCCCAGATCTGGCAAACAGGAGAGGGCCACCCAAGGCCAAGGGCCGTCATTCCACGCTGCATGTGGGCCAGATCCGCATCCCACAAGTGCCAGATGTGGGCCGGATTTGGGCCGAAACAATGTTGCTATCTGGGATGCTGAAGATTCATGATTACTAAATATAACATTAAAACACAGATTAGACACAGGATGACATCAGAGAAATCAATTCAATTCACATCTATTTGTGTAGCGCTTTTCACAATACACATCGTTTTAAAGCAGCTTTACAGAAATGCATGAGTCCACATTATAATTTAAAGGGATCTGTTATCAGAGTTATGCATATTTATATCTGATTTATGTATTATCAGAAGTTATGTATTTCAGAAATGTGCATATAAAAAATCACAGTTAGCTAAAAATGTATTAATTTAAACAATGTACTAATTTAATGCAGATACAATGAGCTCATCGAAGTAATGAATACTTGTTTGTTAACAAATGATTATGACATAAATATAGCATTGATGCATGTTGATTCAGAGTTTGCTTCATCTCAAGTCTTCGCGAGGTTTGGCATCATGGGGGCGGCAGTGGCTCAGTGATTCATGTGGGTTGTCTACAAACCGGAAGGTTGGTGGTTCAATCCCCGGTTCCACCTGACCAAGTGTCGAGGTGTCCATGAGCAAGACACCTAACCCCAGCTGCTCCCAACGAGCTGGATGGCGCCTTGCATGGCTGCCGTCGCCCGTCGGTGTATGAATGAGAGGGTGAATGTGAGGCAAAATGTAAAGCGCTTTGGTGGCCATTGGGTCTGTGAAAGTGCTATATAAATGCAGTCCATTTACCATTTATCATCTATTCACAGGTGTTGGGCATCTGAAGTCTTCATAATAGTCTGGATCCAAATGCTGACATACTCTCTAGTTTATCGTTAGGGACACCCAGGGGATCTCATGAAGCTGCAGCTGAAGTACGGTGGGCAGCAGGGGGCGCTTTAGCATAACCTTGCATTTTTGTATTACTGTTTCCAAAGATAGACTAGACTTACACACTTCACATTACATACATAGACCTACATGAATTCAAGTATCATATATTACCATGGTATTAGCATCTGACAGGGTCTTTTCTGTGAGGGGAAGTAGTTATACAAAGTAGGCTATATTAGTATTCTTTGCTATATAGTGCATTTGTGATGCCAAAGATCTGATACCTCTAGATCAGATCCATCAATGCTTTTGCAGGATTATTCAAGGTATTAGAAAGTGTGAAAAGTACTTTTATGTGTATTTTTTATTTTCAATCGTTAGATGTAGGCTACAATGCATGAATGAATTAGTGAAATAAAGAGTTGCTCAAGCAAATGGGATGAACGCGAGTGCTCATTGGCTGCTGTGGAGGTTCACGCGCACTCGCTGTTTTGCGGTAACGCGCTCAGGTGAAGCGCGCACTCGCTGTTTTACGGGCACGCGCTCAGGTGAAGCGCAGGTGATGAGATGATTGACAGATACAGAACAGCCGAGACACGAGCGAGATGACGCGACGCGCGCGCAGCTGACGGACACAACACACACATATATGACCAGTGACTGACAGGTATGTGTCGTTTTAAAGTTGATAAACTATCAAAAACATACAATGTGCAGGTGCAGGAAAAGAACAAGTGAGACATGCAAATTTAATTCTACCTTTACCGGTATATCGATTACAGTTCAATTTAAATAAATGCTAAATAGGCTATTGTTATTTTCTACGCGCTGTTTTCGATGCTGATAATGAAACGTGCACTTGAAGCGATTATTTTATTATTGCTATATCGATATCGGAGAAATGTGCAGTAGGCTAGTTTCCATTCTGGGTCACACTTTATAACAGTCTTCATGTTTCCATGTGGTGATTACAGAGTCATTCTAATGAACTAAATGCACTTGTATCTTTTTTTCCGCTGCTTGTAGTGTAACATGTATGGAATGCCAAAGCTGACTTAATTAAAAATAAATAAATACATAAATAAATATACGAAGAAATTTAAAAAAGCAAAAATACATAAATAAATACATAAATAAATATACAAAGAAATGTAAAAAAGCACAAATAAATGAGTATTTATACTTTTATTTCCTTATTTATGTATAATTGTATTTTTTCACGCATTTATTTATTTTTTTATTTATACATTTATTAATTTATTTATTTACACTTTTATTTATTTCCACATTCATTTATGTATATATGTTTTTATGTCTACATTTATTTACTTTCACATTTATTTATACATTTATTTATTTCCACATTTATTTATTTCTACATTTATTTATTTCTACATTTCTTTGTCTGTATGCTAATGAGGGGGGCGTGTTCTACCTCAGACATCAGCAATCGAGCTCAGAGTGGCAGTGCTGAAGCTTTGAGGCCACAGTGACACCTTGTGGTGTGTGACCAAACGAAACGCAAGAGGTGTGCGGACAATATCACATTTTAAGTCATGTACCGTATATACTCGAATATAAGACGAGGTTTTTGTCCTAAAAATAGGCTGAAAAATTGGGGGTCGTCTTATATTCGCGATATAGACAAAATCACGGGGGAAAGGGAGAAAATTCTTGCCAAGCATTTCGATGAGCTACTTTATTTGTGTATCAAAGTTAAAAAAAAAAAAGAAAAAGAGAAAAGTTACAAAACCCACTTAGAATGGGCAGTTTAAACGTTCAGCACACAGCAAAATTCCCAGTGTTAAATTAACACTCTCGGTGTTCATATAGGTCCAACTACAGGGTGTTAAAAATGAACACTGAAGCAGTGTTGAAGTTAATGAGATAATTAAGTGATGATTAGTGGTGATAGCTAATGTTAATAAGAAGAATCATTGAAGGAAAGAGAAACAACAAGAACTACTGACTTCGAGCCATTACACATTATTGTACTTATTATTACCAGTGTATTTCTGTCATAAATCTACACACATTCTTAATTATATTGAACAGAAGTTTAGATGGTAATGTTTTATGGAATGTTTCATTTCATGTCACCATTATGGCGATCAGTGTTTGCTTTAGTTGGGCTCTTGACCCTTTGCTTTTTAACATTAGTTTTTCTCTGGTTGCTCCATCTCTGTGTTTATAAAGCACATGTGTTATTGCAGGAGAAACCATGACATGGGCTGTGTTTCCGAAAGCATCTTAAGCCTAATTTGATTGTACAGACATTTTGTTGCAATTGTTCTACGATCAAGTTAGGTTTAAAATGCTTTTGGGAAACACAGCCCAGGTCATGATGGTTATGTTTAAATGATGAGATTACCATCCTGTAGTGTCCTGATTCACTCAACCAGCATTATAAACTGATTATACAAAGCTTCTATTCATATTCATTAAAGTAACTAATTCCAGCAGTGCTTTAATAATCTGTAGGTTTTAAAATACCACATAGATATCAAGAATCTACATATGAATCTCAACAATGGTGACAATCACATAAAATATTCATGTTGCAGTGCATGATGGGAGCCACCAATCGAAATGCATCCATGGCTCCCATCATGCATTGCAGTATGAATAAATTATACAGCTGAATTGTCCTGTAATTTTCATTGTTTTTCCTGTTTGTTTTTATTTTGCTATTGTTTTGTTATGACTTTAATAGCTTGTTTTGTGATGTTCAGAGTTGATCTGTGTGTCACTAGTTTGTTTATTGTCACCATTGTTGTGATTCATATGCTGATTCTTGATGTTTGTGTGTCTAAACACAAGAGCTCCAGTGCACAAAAAAGTTTCAAAATGGTTATAATTGCTGTTGGGTCTCAAACTGTAAAATCTAAGGGCTACAATCACCCATAGTAAAACACAACATCAATCATATAGTCAAAGATCTAGACTCTGAATGACATCAGTGAATCAGGTCACTACGTGATGATAATGTCATCATCACAACATACTGTTGGCATGTTCTCTCGTGCAATATCAAATGTGCTTTATAAACACAATGTTGGAGCAGCCAGAGAAAAACTAACAATAAAAAATGAAAAGGGTCAAGAGCCTAACTAAAGCAAACACTGACCACCATAATGGTGGCTTGAAATGAAAAATTCCATAAAACATTGCCGTCTAAACTTCCGTTGAATCTCAATAACTTTTGTAGATGTATGACAGAAATAAAGTCACACTGGTAATAATAAGTGCAATAATGTGAAAAGGCTCGAAGTCAGTAGTTCTTGTGTTTCTCTTTTTTTCGTTCTTGTTGTTTCTCTTTCCTTAAATGATTCTGCTTATTAACATCGGGAGTGACCACTAATGGCCAATCATCACTTAATTAATCACTTAATTATCTCATTAACTTCAACACTGCTTCAGTGTTCATTTTTAACACCCTGTAGTTGGACCTATATGAACACCGAGAGTGTTAATTTAACACTGGGAATTTTGCTGTGCACATTTGTATAAGATTATATTTCAAAAGTACCTCAGACAAACAGGTGAAACAGGTGAAGCGGGTCCGCGCGAGGAAACATCACTGTAGCGTGCGCTCTTCACGTGCTTCTTAACAGGGGCCTGTTCACATATTGTGTCTTTTGCGCGCTCAAGTTCGTTATTTCAAATGTAGGCGCTCGATATGAGCGCTCATAATGGAAGCGGCGCGCTCGTTTTTTCCAAGCGACAGACGCCTCCGGAGCGCAACCGCCCTAGCACTTTGGAAAAAGGAGAACGCTGCGCGCCTAGTGTTTTCTACGCGTTTTTAGGCGCTATATGTGAATGCAGCAGAGTGCGCGACAGCCTCCCTCCCTACAGTGTGTGTGTGTGTGTGTGTCTCTTTTTCCCCAAAAAATAAGTCTGGAAAATGGGGGGGTCGTCTTATATTCAGGGTCGTCTTATATTCGGGTATATACGGTATATCACCCTAACTGTGTGTAGGGTAGGCTATATAGGGTTAACACGCATAGCACACATGAACAGAAACTGCACTTCAACAGGTCTGATAGCAGACACTTGGACATGGAAGCGCATGAAAGTATCCACTATTAATAACAATGTAAACGCGGTGGATAGGGCTGATAAGAGCTTGCGTTTGGCTTGCGTTTATTGTCGATGAGACTCGCACACCAGCGCAGAACGCGGAGAGAAACCAGCGCACATTTCACTGACTCCTACGCAAGCATATTGATCAATGAGTTTGAAACGCGACTCAATACACGGTTTACATTCGCGTTTCCTAATTTCGTATGCATAACAGGTGACAATTCAAATGCTTAAAACACAACCCATATTTCATAGATGCTGCTCTTAGATACTGATTAATCACAAGTCATCAATTTGGAATTATTCTTAAATCAAACAAAAGGGGCTCATGGAAACGCAGCTAGTGAGCCACGCATCTCACGCCATGCATTGAGGCAGGCCTAACGTTACTTTCTTCCGCCACCTCGCAAACATGCCACCAACATAGGGCTGGGCGATATATCGCATGACATTGTTATGCGCATCTCGTCAGTAAAGCGGTTCCTTGATTAGTAGTAAATCACCTTCACCTGCTTTCAGATGGAAGATATGATGCAGATATGAGTGTTAAATTAACACTCAAGAGTGTTAAAGTTAATGAGATAATTAAGTGATTAATTTAGTGATGATTGAGCATTATTGAAGACACCTGATGTTAACAAGCAGAATCACTGAAGGAGAAAATCACAAATTGTAAGCCACCGTTATGGCGATCAGTGTTTGCTTTAGTTGGACTCTTGACCCTTATACTTTCAATTTAAATTCTGTTTGTCTGCTGTTATTGATTTATAACAGTCAAATGAACAAAGAAAAGTGTGATCTGACAGTGTTGGTTATGTTTTGGCATAATCATGCTGTGATCTGAAAAATGAAACTTATTGAGATTTCCATTACACGAGAGTAGATGTTAAAACTTCATGCTGATTTGTACTCGGCTTTTGCCAAGATAAGCAACACTAAGACGTAGCTTTACAGTAAACTATGCTTCTCCATCCATTTACGCTTCTTTTCATATGAGGGTGTGACTCCCCTTCTGTCCGGCGTTAACGGCTGCAGTGTACTTGGCGCGTCAGCACACACGACGGCTGCAACTACAGTGTGGTCTCCCTAGTGGGCCAGCACGACAACCGTCTGGATTGAGCCGAGTAGGGGACATCTCTAGGGTCTTCAAGTGGGCACCTTCCGTCCTCAGTGTTTCGTCGACTAGCCCACGACACCTCAAGAGGGCTCGACAGTGACTCTGGCGTCCCAGAGTCACCCCCCTCCGTCCCCCACTCAACTCAGCTGCTGAGACCTAACCACAATCTCACAATCTCTCCGCAACCCAACCATACGCGCCAACCCGTTTGACTAAGGCTGTCGAGCCCCACTGGTGCGTTAAAGCAGTTTCAGTGGCAACGGTTCCGTATGGCATACCACCTACCGCAAAACACAATATCTGCCCAACCACCCATCACGCAATATACACAGAAACGTAATGACTGTAAATACTATACAACCTATACAAATAAACCAACAGACTCTTCAAGTTTTTCAAGAATTCTACGAAACCGTAGCGTGGCGGCCTGTACACAGCCAGCTAGAATCTTTCCGTCTCAACCACAG